GCCCTTGCAGAACGCCCTCCACGAAATTCTCTTCGCTTTCCTAATTTCCTTATTGTATTTCTTGAGTGAGTTTTTATACTCTTCCCACGAACCCGACGCCTTGGCCTTATTGAATAGCTTTCTGGTCTTTAGTCTAAGCCTCGAAAGTCCTTCATCCCACCATGGGCACTTCCTATTGCTCCGCCTTGGCTTAACGCGGCGGCTATTACTGGTAGGCACCAGTAATAGCCGCCGTCAGAGGCTCGTTGGCCAGGTCGATATCCATCACCGTTCTGACAGAAGCAGGAATGGAACCAATCCTATCCATGAGGAGTGTTTCGAATTGACTCCAATCTGTGGATTGGGGCACCCGATACATTTCTTCTGCCAAGCCCCCGGAGACCATGATATCAAACCTAATCTGCCTATGATCGGACATGGATGTCTCATTTGAGACATGCCATCCACTAACCCTACTGTCGATAAACTCAGTGTAAAGGATGATGTCAAGGACCTCTTCCCTAATTGCATATATGAATGTCGGCCTATTGCCCTCTTTCATAACCATTATTTTATTGCTATATATAAATTCAAGTAGGCACTCACCTCTTTTCTTCATATTACTGCTTCCCCAGATGGTGTGGTGGGCATTGACATCACTTCCTATTATCAGTTGGAAGTTCCTCCTTCCACAAAAGTCCACTAGATCTTTCAGTTGTTCGTCTGACTGGGCGCAGTTTCCTGGGAGGTAGGATGAGCACACAATAAACTCTGTTCAACCCCCGGAAGACTTCACCTTCACCAACGCAACTATCTGATTCTTAGAACAGTAATCTGGAATGGGAAAAGACGTTAGCCTTTTACTAAACAAAATGCAAGCCTTAGGCCTGCCTCCAATTGTATTATCTCACAATAGCTCAACTGTTAGGCCCTTAACCTGATCCTTCACTATGTAAGGCTCTTGGATAAGGTCGATATCGAGGTGACCCTTCATAAATCTATGAGCTAGAATATCAGTTGATGCCCTAGCATGTTGTAAATTTATTTGGATGCACCTCACAGCTATATCATATCCTCCGGATCTTGTCTATGGGCTTTGGCCCTTTAAACAAAGGCTTTACATGAGCCTTACTTCTCATTGCCGCCTTTTAACGCATCTTGGTGGGCGCCTGCCCTGCCACAGCTTCTTTTGCCGTCCTAGGTGCCACACTAGCCCCTCCAGCAGCAAATACTGAAGCAGTTCCAGGCTTCCCAATGGGTTTGAGTCTTTTTGGTTCACCGTCATTTTCGGAGCGACTTCAGACTTTCCAATGAGTTTTGACTCTTTTGGTTGGCCTGAAATGCTCGTCGTTGTCGCGGTGAACTCCGCTTTCCGTAGATCTTCCAATCCGGAATCATCCACGGAAAAGATGATGGAGCAACCCCCGCCTGCTTCAGATTCAGTAGATTTGCTTCTCCATCCTTGTTTTCTTCCCTGGAGAGACTGAAGTCCGTTGTCTCGTCCTTTGGTATGTAGGTGATGCAGACATGCTGTTTGGGCATGTCGCCGCGATCCAGTACCACGACGTTGCAGCCGTCCCAAGGCTTATTTAAGTGGTAACCATGGGACTAAAATTTGTAATATCCAAGACCTCCCCAGGAATCGCGTTTATAAAGGTCGGTTCTATACCTATTTTATGTATATCTATTATTTTGAAACGAGAATTCGAACAGGTACTGGCATCTTAGAATGAGATCGGTACGACCCCACAATGTGTGATAGGTACGGGCCCACAATGTAAGCATAGGTACTATAGCCCATTTTGAGCTTTCTCTACTTCCTTTTGCAATACTTAACGTGGTTTTCTACACCCTCTAGAGAGTGCCGACCACAGATCTCTATGGGAAAGTAGTCTGAAGCACAGATTCTTTTCTGAAAGTTTGCCAAACCTCAACCTCTAACAGATTCCTCGTAACAAAATCTAGCATTGGAAGAAATTTAAGGGATTTATTGAGCCATGAAGGCCCATCTTGCAGGCGCTATCTTTGTTTGACTTCCTACTGAGACAACCTGATGCGGACTTAGCGCTATGGATGTTCACATATACGCACTTTAGTTTAGGCAGCATCCAAAGATTATAAAGGCAACATTCAATGATTATAAAGGCATTTCTACAATATAAGATTAGCCACCGAAAGTCCAGCCAATTCTGGTGCATTCGGGCTACACGACACAGGAGCTCCTTCGTAGACTTTCGATCTTGGAATTTCTTCTCCCTCCAGTTTTCCAACAGGGCAATGCTGGAGATTTGCGTTTTAAGCCAGTCTGCAACACCTTTATCACTGCAGACCAGTGGAAGCTACTTTGTTTGATCTTTTATCTCCAAATCGGGTTTCCCCTTCCGCAGTGATTTTTGACCTGTTCGGTGACATTGATTGACCTTTTTGACGTTCAAATTGGATTTCTTTAGGTTCTTCTGCCACTTTTCTCGCACAATCTGACCTACTTTTTTTCTTTGACTCAGTGACAACCCAGTTTCTTCAATTTTTATCCTCCGCCCCAGCAGTTTTTATTTCCCGTCTTGGCCGCAATGGGGGGTGAGTGAGAGGACGATCTTGCCCTTTCAGAGTATTTTAATAGACAATTTTAAGACCATAACTTACAAATAATTACCAAATATTTCTTGGCATGTGTGGTATGATTTATATTAAAATAAATATACTCGTACATAGTATATATCAGCACAAATGTATGCATACTTGCTTTCTAGCACTATTAGAAATGCAACACATATATTATATCTATCATACTATATTCGAAAATTATTTGTGTGTTATTATCTTATATTTTGTTGATTCTATATATTGTTTAAATATTAAGCGTTCAAATTTTAAAATAATGGTTTGATCAATTAGCCAGAAAAATACGCTTAAAAAAGAAAGTTACAAATTTGAACTTTTCTGAACTTTCCTGTTTTACAAATTGAAAGATACGTATTAAATTACATAGAAAAATTTTTGACTTGAATTTTAAGAAAAAATTCGTCATACTCCTACGTGGCTTCAGAAAACATACTAACCAAAATGAGAAATGGGTTGTGAAAACATACTAATTAAAATGAAAACACTCAAATTTAAATAAAAAAAAAATCATGCTTCGTAATAAAAAAATTTTAAGCATTGTTTTCATCTCTGTGAAGGGTATATTAACTTTGGTTTGCAGTTCGCAACAACTTGAAGGAGTCATCTGCGGTGCGGAAATGCATATATATTCTTTTATCGCAAAACTCTGCCTTGATTTATACATGTCCGTCCGACTATGCGATCGCGCGATAACTCAAAAACGAATAATGCAATCGACACGAAACATTCACCAGCTATTTTTTTTCTACTAAGATCGGATGCTATTTTAATTGGACAAATTCGCAGAACAGGTTGGGGAAGCTGCTATGTATTTTAAATATTTTAAAAACTAATAGAGATGTTGTTATAAAATTTAATTAATGTGTATCCAATTACATTCTACATTCTGAAAACTTTTATGGGAGAGCTGCACTATTTCGGGTATCTGCCACTAAGAATAATAAAGTCAGATTTATGAAACTTGGCAGTCGTGTGCCCAATGAGTCAACATATAGTGGTGGAAGTTTTGGTGGAATAGCTTGGCAGGTTTGGGTAGCTGCGATACAGTTTCAGGAGCTAATTTTAAATAAAAAAGTAATAAATTCAGATTCATGGAACGTATCAGTCGTGTGTTTATACCGACTGAAACTTTTTTATTTGTTGTAAATTGTTTTACTTCGGAAAATTATTCTTTTTTTTTATAATTTATATATTTACTGAAAGTTTTTGTGACTGATAAACAAGTTTCAGTAACACTGACCTAAATAAATATTCGTGCTTATATAACAAATTTGATCAAACCTCCACTTTAGTTGATCAAACCTCCACTGTTTAGTTAATTTGAAATAATATTGTTAATTTAGTTAGACGATTATTGCTATAAGGTATAGTTTTTCGCATAACGTTGCAAAAAACTTCAGGAAAGATTTTTTGATCAATTGTTAGCAAAAATTTGTATGAGCAAGGTCGCAGATATACTTGATCTCGAGCTCAAGACTTAAAATAAATGATTCTAAATTTTTTCTTCATATAAATAAATACTAATACTTTCAGAGTCATGCAACATAGAGTAAACACGCGGTTTCTCGGAAATTTTTGTTACGTTTAAAATAAAATTCATTCATACAATAGTTCCTTAAGTCTTTTACTATTTTGCTAGTAAAACTTACGAAATTATTATCTAACTTACGAAATTATTGAGTATCTATTATTTTAATGAAAGGAGAAATTATTTTATCTTTTAAATGTGTACGTTATTATGGACTTGTCAACACAAATAATTGGTTTTGACAAGCCCCTAAGCACATGAAATTACAAAAAATGAATTACATATTATAAAAAGAGTTAAGGAAGGAAGGCCCGTATCGATTGATTTTCTATAAATTTTAGTACATATTTTCAATAAAATTTTTTTGGATGAAAACTTCACTCTTTTGGCAATTTTTCTTTTGAAAATATGAAAATAAAACTCCAAAATTTATTTGTGTAAAAATCTGTTTAGGTATTTTTAGGTGCAAATGACTTAAAACATAAAAGGACGATGAAATATTTTTTTCCTTCATATAAGCTCTATATATTTTTTCAAAAATCATAAAAAGAAAATGAGAATTACTTTCTCTACGCGATAGTCTTATACTAGACAGGATAGTGATAGAAGTATTCATCACAAATATTTTATATGGTATGATTAACTTGCTCTAGCTATAAGTTATTGTTGTAATGAACTTTGTTCAACCATAATTCACTAGGGCTGCATGCATTATTTTAAAAATTGTTGATCACGTTGGCAGCTGGTTGGCGAAAGTCAATTAAATTAAAAAATCTAGGAAAATAAATCAATTAAATTAAATAATATAACATATGTACATATATTGCTTACATAAATATCAGATTTATTAAAAATTAAATTTGTATTACAGATTAGCAAAAGCATTCTTTATAACATCAAAACCACCAGTAACAATTTCTCGTAAAGAGGAAACTCAAGCGGGAAGAAAATTTTTAGAAGCTTTGAAAAATGGGCCTCGTATACCTGATGAAAACCAAGAAGAAGTTGTTGTCATCGACAGTTCCGACACATATACTGAAATTGAAAGTGGTTCCAGTGATTCACTAGAAAATAATTTGGCGGGTGTAATCACTAATCAACTAAATGCAAGAAAGGCCTCACTTAGAGCTTCTTTAGAAAAATTGATTATAAGATATTTGAGAAAATTATCTCCAGATGAAAATTTTGATTATGAAATGCATAAGAGATCTATACGATATAAGCGAAATATGCGAAGAAAACGTGTTAAAAGATTAAGTAAACAAAATAGCACAAAAAATAGTAAAGAAAGTATCGAAGAACTTAATATATCATATGATAATGATTTCGATATAAATTTTAATGATACTGATGATCAAAATACGACTAAATATGACAAAATGGTTTTAGGAAAATCTCATCTTCGAATAAATTTGGGTGAACATTTTGTTGTTGACGAAAATTTTGGCAACAAGAAACTAGAATATGAACAAAGGCAACAAAAATTAAAAGAAATAAGGCTATTTTGTCCAGACCAAAAAAGAAAAGTTTCTTCTCTAGATCGATTTGATATCGAAAATTCCTACAGGAATGAGTCTATGGAAGACTATAACATTAGAAGACTTTTGAACAGAAGGTAAGGCATTTTAAAATAAAATTGGTCAAAATTTAATTAGAATTTTTAAAGCATTTGTTTTTTCTGAAATTTGTAATAATAACTAAAATTTTTGAGGTGAAAAAAAGTACTTACATAAAATTTTAATTTTTACAACATACTTTTATTACAAAAATTCAGTATGGTAAAAACAACTTAACGTTTCGAAAAAAAAAATAATAAACAACGAAAAATTAAATTTTAGATCAAGTCAGGAGAAAATTATATTAAGTCAGGTACAATATTTCTAATTTTAATAGACTTTAATTTTATTGTTTGTCGTCTTAATTAGAAGAAGATCAGCTTTGATAAAGTGCGTATGTAGCTCACGAAATATATTAGCAAAAATAAAAAGTATTTAATCCCTAATAAAAGGGATTTTTCTTTTCATACACTTAAAAAAAAATTATATTTCGGAAAAATTATCAACCATAGAAGAATTTTTTGAATTAACGTTTCCACTTCGCAAATGTGTAAAAAGCCGATAATTATTGTAAGGTTAATGCTAAAACTAGATAATCGCAATTATTAGTTTACAGATATTGGCTTTTAAAGATTTAACAATAACATATATTATTGTAGCTTGGTATATTTCTATATTTGGTACAGAACGTTTGGTTTGAACTCATATGTTCTTTTAAGTCTTATCGCTTATATAATACCAATGATTAATTCATAACTGAAAACTTTTTCAAATTTGCAGGTGTTATGGGTTTCTTTAAAAATTACTTAAACTTAATTTTTGACAAAAAAAAACATTTCGTCAACATTTCAAATAGCCAATTTAAATTGTGATACATCTTTTCAAATTTATGAAATGTATTGTTAAATGTAATATTGTCAATCAAATTTATTAAATGTAATATTGTTTTTATTTCTTTTTTTACTTATTTGTTCTATATTATATTCCTTTTACTTATTAGTTATTCTTTGTACATTATAATTTTTAATAGCTTGTTCATTTTTCATATAGGTGGGCTTACTAAATTAACATGAAGAGTAAATCTAAAGTTGTTTTTTACAGTTAAACCGAGACTTTTTGTTTAAACACCATGTTTTGTGCTCCATATCCAATTAAATTTGGGCAATCGCTTTTACGACAAAACTCTCTGCTTTTTTTTGAAGGGATTTTTTTTTTTTTTTTTGCCTTATTCACTCCTAAAGGGGGATAGGGCTAGTGCATACCCTGAGGGATATACCCTTATTACTATTTTAAGGATTTACCCTTATTATTAGTTAATCATAATAATTAGAGCATTATTAAGTAGGAAATTTCTCTTGTTCTTTTTTTAATACAATATTATTATCAGCCTAAATCAGTATAAATAAGGTATGTGATTTAATTTTACACTAAGCGATTTTACAGAACGATGAATAATATATTCTTTCCTAGTAATTCCTTGAACTAGCATTTTATACGATGATAAAATATCCATTCATTTTGACTGCACATTTTCTACTTGTTAAAAAATTTAAATTATATTTATATCTAGATTTTTCTGATCTCCATTCTGGTAGTAGTTCTTGTATTGTTATTTTGGGAACTCTTTCAAATGTCTTCTCAGGTAAAATATTTAAATAATTTTCATTACTTAAAGCTGAGCTGATGTAGAGTTCTAACTCATGTAAAAGTGTTAAAGTGCCTTGGAATTAACTGAAGCCATGAACTTGGCGCTTTAGATTTATCAAACAACCAACTTAATCTATTTGCTACAAAATTTTTATTTTTTAATACATACTTAATTTTAAAGAATCCAATAAATGGGTCTTACCTACAATTTTAAACTTATCTTAATTTGCATTCTTCTGTTACTCCTGAAACCTATTCTATTCTGAAAATCAGATTTCTAAAAACCTTATATTCTTAATAAGGTTTTTAAAAATTTGATTTGATTTCTTTTTCGAAAAAAGAACAAATTGTTTGAAATTTAAAAATTTAAAAAAATTTCCTTGAATAAACGAAGTTTTCCGAATATTGAACATAAAACTGTTTTTTTTTAAGCTATTACGCCTCATAGACTAATTTCCCGGACATTAAAGCCTACCATAATAGAGAATAGCATGAGTCATGTGATCTTGTTTTGGCAACATTTTACTTAAAAATGTTTTTGGCAGAATTTCATTTATTCTTGTAAGTTGCTTATGACAATATCAGATGTAGCTTACGCAAATGTGTATGCATAAAGTGAATTTAAAAGTTTAAAGTTTTTGATTTTTACCGACCGTATTGGTTATGTGATGGCAACAAATTTTGCATATCGAGTTTTCGGTGGGAATGCACTTCTCTATAGTAGGGAAGTGTAAATAAACTATTTTTAGCAATCTGTCGGTCCGTCGGTCTGTCGGTTTGTCAGTCTGTCGATCCGTCGGTCTGTGTGTGCACGCGTGTATCTCAAGTTCGGCTGAATCGATTTTGATGAAATTTTACATGTAAGTTTATTTCGACCATGGCACGGATTTATCAACTTCTGGGATATATCAGGCCTCGGGAACTGTACTTTTTAGCGGGCCTGTTTTACATTTTTGAACATTTTGAAGAAAATATTCAACCGATTTACTTGAAATTTTATATATAAGCCCAGCTCGGCCATTCGCAAAAATTCGTATGTTTTGGAAGAAATCAGGCATCGGCAACTAGACGTTTACTACGGGCCAAATATACATTTTTGTGTATATAAAGAGAAATAATCAACCGATTTCATTGAAATTTAATATATGAATTCCTCATATTGAAGCAATGAACATATAACTTTTTGGAAAGATCAGGGCTCGAGAACTGATTTGCGAGCCGATTTTACATTTTTCACCATTTTGAAGAAAGTATTTAACCGATTTACTTGAAATTTCATATATAAGCTTTGCTCGATCATACGCAAAAATTCCTAACTTTTGGAAGAAATCAGACATCAGCAACTGGGCGTTTACTACGGGCCAAATATACATTTTTGCGTATATAAAGAGAAATAATCAACCGATTTCATTGAAATTTAATATATGAATTCCCCATATTAAAACAATGAACATGTAAATTTTTTGGAAAGATCAGGCATCGGCAACAAGACGTATACTACGGGCCAAACATACACTTTTGTGTATATAAAGAGAAATAATCAACCGATTTCATTGAAATTTATTATATGAATTCCTCATATTGAAGCAATGAACATATAACTTTTTGGAAAGATCAGGGCTCGAGAACTGATTTGCGAGCCGATTTTACATTTTTCACCATATTCACAGAACAAATTGATGGAATTTCTTGAAATTTGATATTTGAGTTTTGTTAACTATAAACTTACTAATGTCCTAAAAATTGGAAAGAAGTATTTAACAGACATTTTTATAATATTCTGTAACACTTTCATTTAACTAGACAATACACAATGCGGTCGGTTATGTGCTGACCACATCAGATTTTTTTTATTGTTTGGGTAGGAAGGCTAACTTACATAGCGAATTTCAGTTTATTGGAACTTCACTGTATAAATTGTGGTGATAATCAGTGAGTTAGGGATGACATTGGATCTTTTTTTGAATTATGAGAACAATATAAATATGACATCATAAAAATATGTCATCAAATATATAACATCATGTTCCGAGAATTTTGTTTAGGTGGTGTGATCCAAACTCAAGTTTAAGGGTTCAAAAAAACGAGGAAGTTCTTCGAGAAGAGGTATATATTATTGAGGATTGCAACAGAATCACACTTTACTTTGTGACATCACAGCTTATACTAAAGCAAGAAACTACTGTTTTAGATTTTGTGTTAGAATTTTGAGAAAGTTTGAACTTTGTATATGTAGAAACTTTTCAAATTTGAACTGTAATATTATCTACGTTTTTCAATTTCTAGAGATTTGGTTCACACAAAAACCATTAATGCAAAACCCAAGTAGAAATGTGCTTTCCGCACTAGCAATACAAGATTATCGGCCGTTATGGAATTTTTGAAAGTAATTATTTTTATGCTACATTTCCAAAAAATTTTGGAAGAAATGTGCATTATAGTTTTACTCTTTTGATGAGACACTAATGACCCGATTTGACATATCTGCTCATTCTGAAAAATATATTCAACAGCTTGACTGAAACTTTATATATAAACTTCACATGATGAAGCCACCTACTTAACTTTCGATGAAATCAGGTGTCGGCAGTTGGATTTTTACTAAAAGTCAATTTTACATTCGATTTTTTGAGCTTTAATATTTAAGTTCAAATTAAAAACGGAACTAACATGAAATTGAATTACAGAAACTAAAACATGGCAAAGAGCTTATAATTTGCATTTCTTTCGATACGTTATTTTAAAATTTGCTAATGTCCTAAATAATTCAAAATAGTTTTTAAAAAGCATTTTTATAAACTTGAACAACACTTTCACTAAATTAAAAAGCCGGCTATTTGCTGTCTGTATCAGATTTTGTAATAAAACTTACAATACTTAATTCTATAATCAGATTTGCGGTTTTCAATTCATACACATGTACGATACTCGTATAATTTAACGGAGATAAAACTGTTTTTACAACAAAAGAATATTTATTTGTCAATAACAAGCTTAAGACTAAATGTTTGCTTATTTGTTAATAATAATTATTGAAATTAATGGGAGCATATTTTTCTAATATGACAATTTTTACGTGAAAAGAATTACATAGTTTTGGCGAGAAAATTATTTCATAATAAAAAATATACATATTGAAAAACAATTTTCTTAATCTATAATTATGAATTCAACATGTTTAAACTTGAATAATTTTGTTAGCCATGTGTTGTAATCTGAGATGGTAAAATCGTGGTTAAATTTAAATAGTGGCATATGTAAATAATAATAATGTAAAATAATAATAATGCAAATGCAAATGCAAATGCAATAATGGCAATAGTACATACTTGTTTGTATAACAAGAAATTTACATGACATATTTTTTTGAAAGTTGAGATGGGCTAATTTTTACGATTCGTGTTTCCATAAC